ATGCTTCAATTTCATCCTCCACTGCTGGGTTAAAAACAAAACAAATTCTCAGGCACAGATCAACTCAGGCACTCCAGGATGAACAACTGAACATGGCCAGACACTTGCTGGGGCAAGTCCAGTCCTGCTGCCACCAGAACACTTTGGTGCCCCCCAAAGTGCTGGTCCTGCTGTAAGATGGAGCCACCAAGGAGCTGTCAGCAGCAAGCAAAGGGCTCCTTGCAGTGAAGGAATGGTTTCATTTAAAGTGATTTTCCTGTATGAAAGATTGGTATCAACCTTGTCTGGCTTCTCCACTTCTTTAAGGGATGCAATAAATTAGAAGGTGATAAAGGGCCAAAAGGAGCATCCAAAATTCCAGTGGCACTTCTAGGAACTGCCTGGCATGCCCCAAGTTCCTCGCAGTGACTTGCTGGCCAGCCTGCAGGAGGGAAGTGGCTGACTATGGCAAGGCATGTACGTTGTTCATCCCTGGGAAACAAAGCAAAAAAGCCCTTAGAGCATCTCAGATTACCTTGTCATCTCCAGAGACCCAAGGGCAGTCAGTACCTGCACTTCCCAGCCCCTGCTCTGACCAAGGGAGCACCAGCAGGGAAATATCTTTGTAAATATTACTGTGTCCTGAAGTGCTGGAAGAATCCATGTGGATTTGCACAGTGCTTGCTGTGCAGATTTCCAAGAGCAGCACAGATGCTGTGAGCCAGTTCCTTGCAGGGGAGTGGAAACATCACCCAGCGTTCCCTCAGGAGAGTGGGAACATCACCCAGCGTTCCCTCAGGACAATGGGAACATCACCCAACATTCCCCCAGGACAATGGGAACATCACCCAGCGTTCCCTCAGGACAATGGGAACACCACCCAGCGTTCCCTCAGGACAGAGCCCCTGAAGGACTCAGGCAAGGCAGTTTCTGCAGGACATCAAGGGTGGCATCTCCCTTGGCATGGAGCCAGCATCTCCCCATAGCACAGGGATCTATGAACCCACCCTGATGCCTGTAACATACTGATCTGATGGAGGCTTTTCCAGGAGTTTTCTGGGAGCTAAAGCAATTGCTAGTATAGAATGTGGTGCTGGAGATCACCTTCATGGTAAGAGGCAGCACGATGCAAATGTGTCTGAAACCACCCCTTGAATTTTACTGAGTGTGTGAGAGGGAATGGCTCTCCTGAGGTCACCAGAAAATCTGGGACAAAACACAGATTAAGCACCTGGTGTCCCCAGCTCACCACAGATCCACTCTCTCTGCAGTGTGCAGGGTATCATCACTCTCCTTTATTGCAGCTCCTCCTCTTTGCATCCCTCTGCAGAAATTCCAGCCACACTGAAGTATGTCTGGTTGTTATTTAGATATACCTGTTATATATATGTAGGTATTTATTTAGATATCCCTATTACATATACAGATATCCCTCCAATACCCCGGCTGGAGGGGCTCTAATAAGAGAATTAAGCATTACACAGAACTTGTCTCTGGCTCACTTCAGGGTGGACACAGATAACCTTTCCTGGCTGGACTCATTCTCCTGCAGAACTTGTGCTCTCTTGATCACTTTATGACTCCAAGCCCAGTTCTCAGAGTGTTGCCCCTGGGAGGAAGTGTGGAGGTTGTTGGTCTGGTTTGTGTTTTCTGTTCATTGGGCTTTTTGTTTTTCTTAACTTCAATTATCTCACGTCAGTACAGAGACTTCCCCTACCATTACTTTCTCTCTCTTCCAGGACTTGCTTTTCTCCTGGGCAATTGCCATCTTCCTAGCTAGATGCTGGAGTAGAAAGAGCATGATTCAAGTTTGGGAATCCACGGGGAAATATCAGCAGCCATTAATGAGTGAGAGCAGCATAGGAACCTGCCACAAATTAACAGCCAGGGAAACAACCTAAATCTTTATTTAAGTGAAGCTTTTTTTTGAAATGGGCTGTTAAGTGACTCAGCTGCAGATTACTGGGAAGTTACAGGTAATCTTTGCATGACAAGGAGGGGCCATATTAGGAGAAAATGAGGTGCTTTGCAGCATACAATGTGTTGTAAATTGTTAGGACATTTATTAATCATATGTGGGCAGACAACTTCACACACCCTACCAGAATTTACTGTACCAATGTCATTTCCATATTGTATCTCTGTAAGTGTTATGAATCAGCCAATATGTGACGTTAATTATCTGCATTTAGCATTGTGCAAACTGACATAATGATCAATCATGGAGTAACACATCTGTAACTGCTTACTGAAGTACAGAATCCCCCAGTTCTCTAAAATATTCTGGAATTGTTCTGTACATGATATATCTAACCAAATCTTGGTTTTGTCCAAAAGTAACATTCTTCCATGGCTGAGAGGTGCAGCATGCAGTGCTCAACATCTGCTTCAGCAGAAGGTTCCATGGAGGTGGCTCTTCTCCCACCACCATGGGGGATCTTCCTCACTAATTCACCTCTTTGGAGAAATGTTTCTTTATGAAGTTCTAGGAAATTGCTTCATGACTTTGGATTTCCTTTTGATGAAATTCAAAAAGAATTTGAATTCTTTGAACTCAATTTGAATGGAATTCTTTAAATTTAAATTTCTCACCTCCTTCGTTCATCTCTAACTGGAAACACAAATTATTTGTCTCGTTTTACCATTTTCAGGAACTGATTGAAAAAATGATGGAAGAATGCAGGATGTTTGGTCTAAGAGAAGGGAGAATAGGTAGAAAAAATACCTTCCATAATGAAGATTTCTCTGCAGACAGTGGCAATCCAAATGTTCCCTATGCCCACTGAAAACAAGGCAAGAAAAAAAATCATGTTAATTTTCTTAAAAAATTGTCTAGGATAAATACTTGAAAATAATTTCCTGATTTTTTAAAAGAGATCTTTAAAGATATGAGTCTTGGAACAACACAGAAAAGTTTGGACTTTCCTTTTCCAAAGTTCAGAAGAGCTGAGGCAAACTTTGACCAGGAAAGGTTGAGGACTACATCCTCAGTGGATGCTCTTGAAGTAGGTGATCTGTGATTTTAGGATTCAGGCTGTGAGGACTGTCCTAGCAGACTGACAGAGTTACAGGGCAGGAAGAAGCCCTGGACAGTGACAGTCAGCCATCCCATCCCTCAGGGGCTCCTTAGGCAGAAATGGATTTGCTGTGCTCAAAGCAGCAGTGCAGAGCAAAGGACTCCCATGGCAGCGTTGGAGCAGAGCTCCCAAGGAATGTTTTCTTCCATTTTCAGCCTCTGTAATTCCAGAACTGGGAATTCCCTCTGTATTTATGCAGAATGCAGCACAAACAGGCCTTTGAACACCACTGAAACAGAAAAATAAAAATGTGATCCTTTCCACCTTGAGAAACAAGCATGTCCCAAACACTCTTATCTCAAAAGCAGAAGTGACAGGCTGTGGAAACATTCAGTCTGGAAATTAATCTTTTGAACAGGAGCTGAGTCTGCATAGATTATATACATATTTTTGTTTGCCTGTTTTGAGTTACATGATGCTATTTTCATCTTCAGCTGAATAAAATTTTATAATGATTTTTTTAAGTCCAGCAAATTTGTCAAATTTATTACTGAAATAAGTTGCACCAATGCTGATTTTTAGTGAGTGTAGTTCCTTCCTTACCATAGCAGCCAACTTGGCCTTATTCAGTTGGAGGCTGGATAAAAACCTCCTTTGAGCCAAATCCACCTTAATCAAAGCTTATATAAATCTCTTAATATGAGTAATCTCCTGTGCCTGCTAAACCAAATAGTTATTTTGGTTGTGTCTGGCAAGATAAAATGATCAATACTCAAACTGGGTGATTCTGTCTGTTGCCATATCACTGTATATTGACTCTATCTGTTTTACAACAGTATGGGTGTGTGAAAATTCCCACACAAAGTGTCTGTGTTCATGCAGGGCACAGGTATGTGTTCTCTTATGTCACATCACGGTGCTGGAAGCAACAGAAGCCACTCTAGGACAGGACAAAACTCCCTTTTGGCATCCACTGGAGCACTCCTGAAGGCAGTCCCTTATCAATTTCCCTTTGGTGTGCTATCAGCTGAAAATTGGTCATGTTTCTATGGTAGCAATGCGAGGAAGGCATATCCACAAATAAATATTTACAGGAAACATCCTTGTTTGGGAAACAAATAAGCACTTGCTCTGGAAATCCTGCTGCACCAGTGACATCCCTGTGGTACCACTTGGTAGAATCAAAACATTCTCTGTGAGAAACAGTGAACTCTGTTTGCACTGGGGTGAGGGCACATGCCTTCAGGTACATCATTCCTCTCTGTGGTTTTCCCAGCTGTCTTTACCAGGAGCCCTTTCACAGAACAGGCCAGCCCTTCTCTCTCCCAAATCCATTCATTCCTTTTTCACTTGGGGCTTATCTTGGCTGTCAATGAACCCAAAGGTGCTCCAGACACATTCTTTCTCCAGCCAGCTCTTCTTCCTGTTATCCCTTGGATGTGTTTTTGTGGCTGCATCATAAGAGGAGATAACACAAAAGGAGACCCCACTGAATCACTACAGGACATTTTATACACCAGCCTTGCCTCCAACACTGCAGCTCTTAGCTCACTTGGGCCTTTCTGTAGCTAAGGGGAACCCAGGGAAAACACAGCTTTAGTCCAAATGCTGGTTGTTTGCCCACCTCTAAGTGATTAGGAGTTCACTAATAAACCATTGTAACTCAGTGTAAAGAGGTGAGCAGAGGCACAAACCAGTATTTTCTGCTGAAATGAAAAATATGCACGGTGAAAAGGTCACATAAATTATCTGACCCTCATTTTCTTCCCTGTAACAGAAATACATGGCAACAAGAAATATAAGCCAAGTACATGCCATTCACACCACAAAATAAGTGATGAGGCCATAAAACGAAATCTGCATTCTCCATTCTTTGTACTTTAGCAACAAAAGATGTCCAGCTGCTCAATGAGATGATTATCTCTACATACAATATATCACCTTCTCCTCTCTGATCTTTTCCTTTGAGTTTTGGCACTTACCTAATCATTGAGGTTTTTTTTTTCAGGAACATGAGCAGCCTTTAGCATGGAAGATATCTGAATGTGGAATCCTACATACAGTAAGTTTCACCTTAAAAAGAAAAAAGGGACATTTTTATAGCTTGTTATATTTGGTCAATATTTGTGCAATTATCTGACTTGTATTTGAACTAGCTAAATAAAAATTCTCCATTAAGATAGATGAATATTTTTTTACTTGCTGAGACTGGCTTTCCTTTCTTTAGATGGCAATAACATCTCATGACCCCAACCTTCTCAGCAAAATTCAAATATCAATGTGTTTGGAAATGGGTCATGAACCTGAATACTGAAATATGAGTTCAGAAACACGTTATGGATCACAGTTGGGTTAAAGAACATCTCAGAAATGTCCCACATTCTTCAAAAAATACAGTCTCACACAAGGAGATGTGTAGTGCTTGATAAGCAATAGGACATAGGAGTCCAGGGCTCTGCCCTCAGTACCCAAACCACTATAAACATCCACTGGAGGCAATGGTTTATTTCCCAAAACTTGCAATTTATATGCATTAGGCAAAAAAACTTCAAGTAACTCTAGTTTATGGTTGCCCAGTAACATCTCTTGGTGCTGCTCAAACTCTTCTTTAAACTCTGCAGTGCTGACCTTGTGTTCCCCACACAGCTCAGAAATACAGGACACCACATGGGAATGATGCTGAGGAGGTACTTGATGCTGGAGTGCATCATGTCAAATCTAGACCAGAGTAAACTGGTTTGAATTGAGCCTCTTGAAATGCAGAAAAGGGAACTGCTTTATGATTTGGCTCGATCCATTTCAGTCAAGGTTAGTCAAGCTTACCTCCTTTCTCGTGGACCTGCTGATGAAGAAGAAAGCCTCCTCCACACCCTGGGGCTGCAGATCATTCACAGCCACCACATGGTCTCCATGGTTAAACAAACACCCCAGCCTGAGAGGACCAGCCCACTGTGAAATGCTGTGGAGGGCAGACAAGAAAGGAAACACACAGGATGTGCAGTCAGTTGCATTTATAGGGTTGCCCTCTGGAAATGACACACATGTTCAATGACTGTAATTTTTTGATATAGTTCTGGTTGAAACCATCACTAATTATTACACAGCATGCTGGATTCTTTGGAGGCCTTTACAACAGCATTTGAAATACAAATTCAAGGTCACAAAGAATCGGAGAGAGCAGAAGAAATCACTGAAGTGCCAGCATGCACTGCCCCTGCCCTGCCAACACTGCACGTGGGTGTCTGCAGTTGAACACTTCTGTGCCTGTCACTTGTTCCCATCTCACAGACACGGCCACAAGACATCCAGACTTACCATATTCGTCCTGCTGCTTCAGTAAGTTTTAGGTAATTGTTAATATCAGCCAGGGGTACGAAAATATCCAATTTCTGCAGCTGCATCTCATCTGTAACTTGACTGTGAGAGAAAAACATCAGAGACCACAGAATCACAGAACAGCCTAAATTGGAAGGGACTCCTAAGGATTATTGAGTCCAACTCCCTGCTCCTTGCAGACTCCCTAAAACTAAATGCTGTTACTAAAAGCATGACTAAAGTGCCTCTGGAATGCTGACAGGCTTGGCAAGATGAAACCCATGAACATGTCTGTCTTCTTTGCAACCAGCTGGAGAAGACACTTACCTGAGCAGTATAGACAAGTGAACCACTGAGAGGGGTAATGAGTTTTGCCTTCTCTGGAGGGTTGGCTGCAGGCTGGTGCTGCTTTCTGGGAGTTTTGTGCCTTTGTCTGTTTCCAAGTCTCTTGGACATGCACTGCTGTTCTGGCATTTGGGAGGGGATGGGAGCCCATCATGTCTGCACATGAGCTGGCACGTCCCATCCAGCAGCTTACTAAAGAGGAATGATGATAAAAAATTAAGGGGTTTGACAATTCCAGGCACTCTTGCTGTGATTGAAGCTGGATCAAGCAGCCCTCAATAAAGCAAAGAATAATAAGTTCTTGTAGAATATCCAGTGGATGAAATAAAACCTAAGTAAAATAAACAGCCCTTCTAAAAATGGACCATAAATCTCAAAATAAACGTTTTCAGTATGCAAAAACTATTTATTAAGCCTGGAAACATTTCAGCTAACAGCATGCCTTGACAAAGAAACTGAGTACAAATTGTTGGCCTTGGCTGTACTGGGTTCTGCAGGGATGTAAAGCTGCCCCTTAGGAGATGTGATAACTCAGAACTACTTCAACTCATTTTAGTTTTATTTGATAAGCCTTACATTGCCTGGAGCTGACTCCCCATTGTGCCCCAAACAAGACTTTTGGGGTTAGTAGCAAAAGCTGCTCTTGGTACATTTTAACTCAGATGGCATAACCTTGTGAGGTTTTTATAGTTATTCCCTCTGGGGGGGTCCCAAAGACACAGACAAGCTTGAATTAATCTATGGAGATTGTCTGGTTAGTGGGTCTGCATTTCCAGTTGCCTCTCCCCATGTGGGGAGAGCTATCAGCTCTGATAGACAGCTCTCAGCTACTGACCACCCCTCTGGCTCAGGAGGGGTTTACCCTGCAGGCACAATTCTATTGAGTATTCACTGCTATACTGTGGAGCTTGTAAAGTTTCCTTGTGGCCCTGAAACTGTGACACAAAGTTCAGGTCCTTCTTTGTGACGTGGCAAACACAGTACCTTCAACACACACAGCAACAGAGCTGTTCTCTGCATGGCAGAATGAAAGGGAGGATGTGTCCTAACCCACACAACTTCTTAATGGAAAAGCTGGGAGCTAATGCCCCATCTCTACCTTTCTCTTTTAACCTCTAGATAATGCTGCCTGCTTTGGAGAGCACCTGTCTGAAAGGCTGTCGGAGTTTGGCTGCAGTGATTCAGTAAAGTGGTGAGCTGTTGTCATGAAAACCCAGAAATAAATGAGTCACCAAAGGGTGCTGCATTGTATAGTCAGAGCCTGTGTAAGTGCAGGAGTCTGCAGTGTGAGCTTAAATTTCATATTTATGAGCTTGAATTTGACTCCAGTGTTCTCATGAATGCTGAACTTTGTGAACTAAGACCCAACAAGAACTCCTTCAAACAAGATGCAGCCTCTAGATCTTGTTATGCAAATACCAGAGATGTCAGCTCTATCTCTACTGCTGTGCAACATTTAATTTCCAAAACCTTAATGAAGTTATTACTTACAGTGATTTCATTGACATATAAATGTTCTCCTTTACTGGGCTGTTCTGCACTGGCTTCTCTTGCTCAGGGACATCAGACTCAGCTGTAGGGTCAGGCTTTAATACTTCAGTAGTGCACTGTCAGAAACACAGCAATACAAGGCATTAATGTGATTGCCCTGCCTACAGAAGAAATCCCCATTAATTTCTTTATTTTGTTCAGTGCTCATGCTGTTTAAACATATTGGCTAACATAGCCTGGGTTACCTCAAATCAGACAATTCCCAGAAACTGGGAGCTAGAAAGGTGCTTGAAACTTAAAAGTTAATGCTGGAACTATTACTGGGACATGACCAGTACTGAAGTACTACCACCAAAAAAAAGAAAAAACCAAAAAAAAAAAAAANCAGTTGTCTTTTAATTCAAGCAGGCTAAAAAGAAGACTTGTTCTTTGGGTGTGCTTGACTTAGAGCACTTAGATTATATGACCACATCACCATTGTTAGTGTCCTTCAGTCAGATGTGCAGTCTGTGACTTCTGCAGAAAACTGACCACTTCTCCTGACCACTTATCTTCTCCTGAAATTAGCCTCCCAAATTGTGTGTCAAAATTTGTATAAAATTAACAGCATGACTTCTCCTGCTGCCTTGTTTCACAGTGAAATGTAGATGCCAAAATCTACTGCAGTGTTTTAAAAGTACTGCTTTTATGCAGCTTACTGGTGTTTCAACAGAATTACATTTCAAAATACATAAAACTAATGTACTGTTACATTCTCCAAATGAAGCTTCCAATTTCAGAAAAAAAAAAAAAAAACAACACTACCCCATTATACAACAGGAAAAAAGTCATTAACAATGAAACAGTCAGTTTGGGGAATTTCAATAAATTCAGCAATATTTTTCTCAAAATGCCACTTTACACCAGGAAGATCCTTTGAAAAAGTCTAGTGTTTTGTTTTTTTTTTTTTCTTGTATGAATATAAACTCTATTACCTATTGCTTTATCAATGCATTCCTTTCCCAAGGTACAAGTGGTTCCTCCTACCAGTTCCTCTTTGGCTCATTAAATGTCTCCTGTGTCCTTGGAGCTGTTAACAGACCAGCAGAACTCCCAGCTGATAAACTACCTTAGCTAAAACACTGCTGGGAGTTTGGTAATAATCTTCTTCGTCCTTTTTGATGTTTTCCTCTGGATCTGACAGCAGCAGGTTTTCCTCACTTCTTCCCAGAATTTTATCCTGCTGAAAGAATGGATTTGTATTTAACAGGCTCAGTTATACAGATTAACATACATTTTTCCTTTTTGTGGAGAAGTAACAGAATCAGCAAATATCCACAGAAAACATGGTAAGATACATTTCTCCTTGAAGTGAGATATGCTCAGAGCCAGCCTATTTTAGAAACAAGGTTTCTATATCTGTGCTCCTGCCTGTATTTTTGAAATTCAATGCACACAGGAAAAAACAGCCACTGGTATTAGTATCTCTCACAGATGGATTAGTGGTAACCAGGCTGTTGCAATTGATTTTATGATCACAACGTGTTATTTTGTTTAAAAATCAAGTGTTTTAAACACTTTGTGTATGAATCTGCTTGAATTTAGGGTCTTTTGTGTGGGAAAAGATTTTCTTTTTGCAATCAGTCCTGAAGTCCTTACATTAAGAAGAAAATCTGTAGGAAATCCAGGGGTGAATTGGGATAAATTTGTCCTTTCAAAGCATCCTTTAACTGCTATCAAATAAAGAATGAATTTGGGATTTCCCTGACTAATGAGAAATTTGTTATCTCATACTTCTCTGTTAACAAAAAGACACTGCAGAAGGCTGGAGCTCTGACATAGAATCCTTTGTGTCCTGAGTGATATTCTGCTTTCATAAATACCTGAAACATTAAATTTGAAGCAATTTGGTAAGCCAAGGAGAAATTAATCCCTCCACCAAGTTTACCTTTTCAAGTCACAAAGAGAAATTATTTATATTTATGTCTCTCTGTTGAGTTCACTATAGTGAAGAATATGGTAATTTGTATTTAGCTGCCTCCCAGTTCAATTCTCTGAGCCATGTTTGTGATGCAACTGTTTTTTATCTCTGCATTTACATCCTTAATTTCCATGGTGAACATTTGAATAATTGCTAAATATGCCATAAATATATTACTGTTTTCAAGGTAAAGTAAATTAAACTATTTACTTTCTTACATGTAACAAGAAAAAAATGCCAATGAACTTTAATTAAGGATGATTATTGTATTTTTTTTCCCTTATTGGCATAGATGGTATTAAAATCAACCCATGCCATGAGAGGCAGGACAAACTTCAAGTGTCTGTGGAACCATAATATGGATTTACACTGGGGAGAAAGCAGACCCTGAAGAAAATTTGGCTGTAGGAAAAGATGGAAATGAGACCTGGAGAACAACTGAGTCATTGTTACCTAAAAGTTCCTTAATTAAAATGACGTGTTGCCCTTAGAGAGAGGAATCCCTCTTTGAAAAAATCAGGTGTGTAACAGATCCCAAGGGTGCCTTGCTGCCTGAAATACAGCAATGCACAGCATAGGGTGATGCAGGGCAGGGCTCCCAATTTTGATGTATTTCAGATGTTGAAAGCTGTTATCAAAATAGCTGATACTGAGTTCCTGAGTCAGATGAGGTTTGGTAGCTCCAAAAGGTGGCTTGAAAAGGAGCCAGGTCCCCAGATGCCTGCAGGGTCCCTGCCAGCATGACTAAACTCACTGACATGGAGAATCCTGTTTGCATTAGTGACAACTACTTAACAAAGAGTTTTCAAGATCTGGGCCTGGATGAGGGAACCACCAATAAAAACCAAAACACATCAGAAGCTTGAAATGGGGACTCACACTGCTAAAAGGAAGTAAAGACAAGGGATTAGTTAGGATGTCAGTTGGCTGTATGTCACTGAGCAGAGAATAGGTCTGGAGATGTTAGCAAATGTTAAACTTATGAGGCAAGACAAATATTTTATCCAATGGACAAATATTGTTTTTTGTTCTCTATACAGCAAGGTTATTTATTTTCACACATGCCAAAACAGAAACATGAGCTCTGTGCTATTCCCTCTGCTTCAGGCTAAAAAGTTAAAATCCAAGTTCTTTATCTTCTAACCTTCATGGTCAGCCTGTCCTAGCCTGAACAGCTGCATATAATACATGCTCTCTGAGGCATTGTAAGTATGAGAAAAATTGAAAAATAAGACAGAAAAGGTATGTACAAGAAAGAAACACAAAGAAATTCTTGACATACACCCAGAGCAGGACTGGTTAAAATCAGACCAAGGGTTAACTCAGTGCATTTTAGAGCTCAGGCTCACAATTGGATCACTGCAACTTTATAAAGTACTGTGCATCAGCTGAGCTATGCTGACTGCCCATGGCATTGCAATGTAGTTTCAACTATTCACTCCTTTCCACTAAATTTAGCTGTATTATCTCATACTTGCTGTCAGCCTATATACAAGGATGGTGATTGCAGTGTGTGATTTACCACCCTGTTAGCTGTGATAGTAGAACAGATTCTTTGCCCTGTATCTCGTCCTCTCCAGGTCAGAGTTCAATGCATAAATTGTCAATAAAGATGGGTTTAAGCTGCAGAGTGGTGTGGTAGAGCCTTGGTTGTGCCTTGTCTCCTCTTGACTCTGCTGCAAAGGCAGCAATCCATGGCAGAGCAAAGCTGCTGCAGGCACTAGTTCAGGGAACACAGGTCAGAACACTTAGCCACTAATACAAGATAACATTCATCTTTTTATCTTTCCAAATCGCTCCCACTGGATATGGAAGTAAAGTTACTTGAAGACATATTAATGCTGACAGAAGGTCAGTTCTAAGATGTGCCCCAATTTAACAAGCTCTTGTTCTGTAATTTAGTTATATTGACTCGATTGCTACTGGCAAAGGCTGAAGAAATAAAGCATTTAGGAACAACTGTGGCACAGCTGAGACATGTGCAGGGAGGGACAAACCCTCAGCCAGTGCAAATGCAGAACTTTCTTCATCAAGTCTGTGAGAGCTGCCACAAGTTGCAGTTGCTGCACAGAAACTCTGAGGCTCTGACTCCAAAACCCCTGAACACAGGAATTTCAAGCAGGTTTTAGAAGATCATTTTCAGTGGTAAACAAGAAAACAGATTAAATACTCAGGAAGCTTTCATGGTGTAAATCAACTTGATGTGCTAGGAAAGTAGGTGGATAATCTATAGTCACAGATACCCAGGTGAGATAAAATCCAATATTCACTTCTGCAGATGTGAAGGCAAGAGATGTTTGATTTGTTCTGCTCACCAGGCTTGGAAAAACTCCTCTTGGTGAGTCACACTGAGCCTGATGGGTGCCAGGATCTGAATAAGGCCTGTTCTTGTCTTCTGAGAAGCCATTCTCCTGTATACAAAGGAAAAAAGTTGACTTCTCATAAAGATACACTGGAGGTGCTTGACCCACATTGAGCTTCCTTTTGCCTGGCCAGTTGCACAAAATTTTGTGACTACAGAAACTCAGCAATTCCTTGGATGCTATTTCACCCTGACACTGGACTGCAATTGCTGTGGGACAGCAGCAATGCTTTCCCTCCCTTCTATTTAAATATTGAGGGGAAAGTCAGTAAGAGAAGAGGAATTGGATCGAACTCTCTTCTAAGATTTGCAGCCTAAAAAGAGAGAGAGAAATAAAAGCACAATCACAAATAAGGAGGAATGTGGCTAGGAGCTGCCAAAACAATCATCACATGCCTCTGCCAAGGCATGTCAAAGCAAATCTTCAAGAGTTTACTTAATGTTCACTAAAATTTGCCAGTCAGTTGAGACAACCAATGAGTATTGTTTCTCATTGCCTTTATTACATTCAGACTTGGCTCAAAAGTATTTCCCTTGTGGGGACTCTGGTGTTACCATCCAGATCCTACTCAGGAACCCCATCAGAACAGACCACCCAGGTACCCACTGCAGAAACTGTGAACAATTTTTGATAGGAAAAAAAAAACTGCAACAGAAATGTCACAGTCATGCCTAGGCACAGACTCATTAATAAGGACATTATTAATTTGTTTACCTTCTGGTAGCTTTGCCTGTCAGGAAGGCTGGTCATATCTACAGAACTCAGGAAGAGTGGCAAAGAGGAAGTCCGGCTTCTGACTTCTGGATTTGGAAGATCTTGGTTCTAGAAATAAGGGAAAAGCAGTATAAGAAAATAGGCACCTGCTGGGTGTGGGCTAAAATGTACTGACACAAATCACTTGAGCAAATTTTATTTCTAGTGGCTCAGAGGCATTGTCTGCATGGCATTTTTCAGGCAGACATAAATTTGCCCTGCTTGCATTTTGAGCAGTCTGGAGGTACAGGATGTGAGTACTTAGTGCTGAGTCTAAACTGGTGGGCCTGGCTACCTGACAAAGTGCAGAAACTTGGGCCTGAGCTTGAACTACCACGGCTTCCAGCTGATTTACAACATTGACAGACTGATGTAAAACAACATGTTAATATATCCAAAATGCACCAAGTATAACACACAAGTTTTCACTCTGATGCATCACAGGTGTGGTTCATTGCAGCATAATATCAATCTTCTCCTCATTTCCATATAGTTTACTCTTCAAAGAGATTTCTTCAATGTAAAATCAATCCCAGTGCAGACAGACCATGCAATGCCTGCTTGATGTATAAAGCCAGGGTACAGGATTTACATGAAAATGAATTTCTGAATAACCAAAGTCAGAGGCAACTGGCAAGGTAAAGATCAGGAAAATTCTTTTGCACAGTTTTGTAATGAAAAAAAGAAATGGCTTATTTTTTTCTAAGATAAGGTACAGTAACATGTCACCTGAGGGCAGCATCCACTTTTGTCCTCCCTGCAGACTGAAGATATCAGAGTGACCCAGTCGTCTATTTCCTGCCTGAAGGTGGAACAAGAGGAGTGAAAACTTACTGACAGGTAACACACAAGGGCACTTCTTTTACCTATCTACTTCTTTCTATGGGGCCCAAAACAAAAATTCCTGAGATCAAGGTAAAACCCTGCACCTGCCTTTCAGGAAAGAGTGCTTGTGTGGTCACAGCCAGATGGCAAAGTCTGGCTCAGAGAGCTTGGGAATGCATTTGGGCCATCAGGATGAGAAACACGCCATGAAAGGACTGTTGAAGCTGTTTTTCATGCTTGCAATGGATTTAGTTGGATTAATTCTGGAATGCTTCCCATTGAGTGTGAGCTGTGAGAGCCACACGCCAGGGGAAGGTGTTGGGTGCCACGCTCAAGTAGCACTCAGGTATGTGTTTTTCTTCTCATCAGGATTTCACACATCAGCTGCTCTTCTGCAACAACACAAGAAGTCCCCTGACATGCTCATGACTGGGAAATTCAAGAGGAGATGATGGGAAGCAGCAAAAACTTTACCCAGCCATGAGCAAGGGGAGGCAATGCCATAGAAAAAAAAGCTGTTTTCCATTGGATCAGGCAGCTGAATCACCTCATCCCAGAGCTGTGCCATCAGTAGCTGAGACACAGAAGGGCTGTGAAGGAGCAGGACCCTTCCCTGGGGCACAGCTTAGTGCTGCATTAGTGTAACAGCACTGTCACTGCTTTTGCACATGGTGCTATGCCCACCTGCTGTCCCCAATGAGGTAGTAACGCCTGTTTCCAGTGCTGATGGACATCACCTGCTCAGGAAGGCACTTAAACATCTTCCTCACCGTTTCCATAATTTCAGCATTACTTATGCCAACTTGAATACTTATGATTCTGTGAAGATAACCACATGAAACATCCTGTATAACTCTACACAGTTACATACAATAGACACACACGTGCATGTCCATACTTTACTCTGTGCACAGCATATGATGAGATCTGCAAGGGAAGACTTAAATATTTTTCCACAGAAAAAGTTGCTCAAGAAAATAAATGCACACATTCAAAAGAGGTTGTCTTTAAATGAAGAAAATCTCCAGGCCCAAAAAAAAAAAACATATATATATATATATATATATATGTGGGTCTCAGATTCAGTCAAAGAAAGAAACTGAGAGTTTCTAGCCAGGCAAAAAGCCTAAAAGCCTGGGAAAGAGCTGGGAAAGAATGTAAATAATTCTTTATCTCTCTTGTTTTTCACATTGTTTATAGTTAAGTTCTATCACTGTGCATCAAGCACTTTGCACCAATGATGTGGGTTGTTTTCACTTCAGAACCAATGGATTTGGGTTTTACGAAGCTCTGTATAAAAGAGCAGTGTATTTTGAATACACCAGAGTCTACTTTCACAGCCTTCTGAGTCAAGTCTATTCATTCCCGCCATGCCTTGACAGTGATATATATTATATAATATTTATATATAAATATATAAAAATATATATTATATATAACTTTTCCAAAGTGCCCAGATTATGGATCCTCATATCTGGAAAAAGGGGATTTTTGTTTAATTCAGAATCTTGAAAAGAAACAAGTAAGAAAAATTTATTGTGGAAGTTTTTTAACCGCTATAAAACAATAGATTTGATTTGAAACTAATTGTATATTAATAGTATTTTAATGGAGGGGAAGAGGAACAGAAGTACTCTTAATGGGTACTTGAAGCACTTGAAGCACTACTTCCATTAACTTCCAAGAAGCCAAATTAATAAAAGTAATAACAACAATAATTATGGTAATAATGTAACCACAGACCACTGAGCAAGCTGCAATATTTTTGAAAGCTTCACAATGTAAATCCTTTTAATGGAAGAAACACAACAGCAATGTGGTGAGTGACCGCCTTGCCTAACAATACTCCAGGTGGTTGCAGTATTAACCCCTAGATCTGACAGGAAAATGTTTACATTTTGCATTACATCTTCTGCTTCCCTTGCACATATCTCATACCACCCATGGCCTGGTGAAGGGTGCCAGTCCAAAGGCAGGGATGCTCAGTCTTGCTGCAGGAGGCATGTGCTGACAGGAAGGAAATGACCAACACAAACGAGCCAAGCAGGGCAATTCCTTGGCAGAATAAGAGGTTGTGAACAACCCCCAAAGGGTTATGAGAAGTCAGGAGACCTCTGCACAAACCTGCAAAGCACTTTGTGAAGCTGCAAGCTGGGAAAGGGTGTGTGCCACAGCTGAGAGTGGCACAGCCTGTCCTTATTCACATGGGAATGAAAGCATGGCACTGCCCTCACAGGAGGTAAAACGTGCTCTACTGCAGGAACTCAGCCCGTGGGATCCTGGAGCCAAACCAGGTATCTCACTGGGAAATACATCACAACATGACTCACACAAAAGTAAATTATAATAAAGCTATTCAGGATTTACACTTCTATAGATATCATAGTTGCACCCAAAGCTGACAAATCCCAAGGGACTCTTGTGGAGTTAATTGGGTTTGAATCAAGAACCCAATCCTGACTTGTTCAGTCAGGAACAAGTGCTTGTACAATCAGTGGCCATTGAAGAGTGCTGATACATGACTTAAAATAAAAAAGATGATGCATTTGAGCTACATACTGATCAACAGCTATGGAGCCTTTCACGTGTTGGCCTTTTAGATACTTCAGGATGTAATTCCCTGTGCTGGATTTGGACAGGACAAAAAGACGCCTTTTCCAGGAATTCTGCCAAAGAGAAAGCAATTTGTCTCTCATTAAAATTCAGGATAGCAGATATGAGGGATTGCTGAAGTATGACTAATCTGAGCTAGTATACCTGTGAGCTGAAAAGTTGAGGAGGTGGTGATTTGATAAGGAATCCGTCCTTGCAGACTCCACCTTCAGGGCAAAATGTAGTTTGAATTCTCACTAATCAAAGAGAAATGAACAGAACCATTACTTAACTTGCTGCCAGATAATCTCTTTAAAAAGACCTCTTTGAACTGGCAGTTGTTGCTTAGCACTGGGTTTCTGTGCTTAAATGGCCATAAGATAAACATAAATCAAAGCTATAAAATATAGAGTCAGGCCCTGCTTCCCTGATGTTAATGCTGACAGCTGGCCCAAAGTGCAAAGTAATGGTAGTGAAAATGTAGGGGTTCAGAAGATACCATGAGCTGCTGTCTTATTTAACTGATCTTATTTAACTTTAGGGGTCTGGTCTTCTTTAGCTTCATAATTACTGATATGAAATGCACCCCTAAAGAAATTTATAGATGGCAGTCAGTCAAGTAAGGATAGATCATCTCACAACTTTACTACTGACAAATTTTAGTATAAGAAATTTTGTACCTGCAGAATTTCTTTTACTTGTAGAAGCCATCCTAATTGTTTCTTCCACCCAGATAACAAAAAGAGCAAAAATGTTGAAGCTAATTCCTTTCAGTTTGCTTGCTGCTGAGCAGCATTTCACTGCACACACAATTGCTGTTGACAAAATAACAAAAATCTTACAGTTACAACAGTTAATTTTCATGCTGATGATCAAAATACATAAAACAGCCATAATAACTATTAATTTAAATATATTTATAAATAATTTATATCCTATTAAATTACACAGTATATGCTACATTTGTTATTTTATAATACAATCACAAAATTACAAATAACAAATATAATTTACTTTCATAGGCCAAAAAGACAATTTGCCTAGAAGTGATGAGGGCTGCCAAGAGAACTTCACTTGTCCCTCCCTTTTGCACTAGTCACAACACATTTAACCTAGGAATACTGCCTCCATGTATGTTACTGACACTGCTTTGCCAGTAGGATCAGTCCTGTATAAAACTGGCATAACTTGGCCTAAAGAGTTTCAAATACATGTTTATAATACAATTATAATACTATGGCAATTTTAATAATTTGCAAGTTTATCATATTAATACAATGCCTTTTTAAAAGTTCCCCTTTGCCTTACCTCACAACTCTCATTCCCTGCAAAATCAGATCTTGGCTGGAGGCTGCTGTACCTACAAGGAGGTTGCACAGACCCTCTTGTGCCACCTGAAGTCACAGAGCCTCTCCTGGGAAAATCTGAAGGATTACAAGTGCTGTTCTCTGGTTACTGAGAACCCTGGATGCAGAGAGAGATTTAAGGGCTTTCCTTTGTTTCTCTTTCTTCCGTGATTTACTCCATGGTGCCAGAAGTAAACATGGTCCAGGCAGGAGTAGGGTGGTCAGGAATGGGTGGGTTATACATGGAATTTTACCCCTAAAACACAACTAAAACTATAGACTTTCATTCCTCCTGCTCCAGGCTATAAAGGGGAATGAACCACTGCAAGCTTAGGTTCATCTGTGGTTTCTGTACATTTTTGTTTGTATTTTTTTTGAGTTTTTTTCAGAGAAACTTTTCCATTTTTGCCTTTTGGGAAGAAAGATTTGTTGTACAAATGCCATGATAAACTGTTAGAAAATTTGCTTCTAGAATTTTCATCTGTTGCCTAGCAGAAAAATAAAAGGACAAAAAAGCAATTTCCAAAATTAAAAATGACTGTACACAAAGTCAATAGTAGGGGCACACACCTGGGGTTGCAATGAAAGGTAATGTACTGCTCTGTTCAATGTGACTGACAGTCACCTCAACTGGCAAATGCTGCAATTACTACAGAACAATATTCCAAGAGTCTCTGACAGGATAAAAGTCTCTTCTGGATGTCAGCAAAAGTCAAGATTTGCATGTGGGAAGACAAATGTGAGATTAGTTGTGCTATCTCACTCTGCCTTTTGGGAAAAAAATTAATTGTTACATCTAATTGTCTTTTCAACAGAAAGCAACATTGTAAACAGGTTATGTTAATTCAAAATGCCAATTCCATGATTATACCCTCTCAGATTTTTGTATGCCAGGCATTAAGGGATTTGATTGCTTCAAACCTTTTGAAATGCAATGAGACATTTCAGTCAAAACGCAAATAAAATGCCTCAAATCATTGTGATGAAAGCTATTACAAAACTTCAAAAATTTCCAAGATAAGGAAAACAAACTGTGCTAATACTTACAAGCAAAATGTCTTCATGATGAAGAAGGTTATTAGAGAAGTACACCTTCAAGTAAATCCAGTTTCCCTGTGCTGTCTCCTGCAGCAAAACGTGGTGAGCCCTTGCCCTGCTTTGTGACTGCCCTCTTATAGTCCATGCAGAAATACAAACACCCTGAAACCTGACCCAAGGAAATTCCTGTTTCTGCATGGGAAGTAACTAAAGACTGCTCTGGAAAGGGGAAATCCAGAAGATTAATATTCACTTAGAAGCAATGAAAAATATGCACATTTGAGGTAGTGATAAATGTCTCCCACACAGAAAAAAAAAAAAAAAAAAGCCTGGAGACAGCCTGGTTTTGTTGGTTCGGCTTTCTGAACAGTCCCTTCATTTCCTAAACTGTTTCTAAGGCATAATATCCACCCCTGACTGGAATATAAAGCAGCAGTAAGAACCCTTAAAGATCATAAAAGTACCATCAATTGAAATCTATTTCAGATTTAAACAGCATTCAGTTAAACATACAATGGTGAAGCAGGATTTCTTATGCTGCCTATGTCATGACAAGGTAATTTCAGAGTTAGTCTTGGCCAAAAGTGGATTTTTGTGATTCTCTACAGAAACATTCAGTGTATCAATAATGAAAGTGGATTTACACACTAAACCATCTGGCTAATACTGCAGATGGCAATGGAATTGCTTTCCAACAGAAAATAGTCATAAATTTGATCAGGGAAAAAAGCTAAAGCACCCTGCAGCTTTTAAATCACTATTCAGATGAAGGGAAAGGGTCAAGGGTTCCTCACTCTGAGTGGGTTCCTTCAGGCTCATGGGCTGCACAGCTCTCAGCTATGTCATTATCACCACTCAGAGGTCATGTCTGCTAGTATACAATTTTCTTTTGAAATAACATTTTTTTCTGGACACAATCTAAAGCAATGCTCATCACCAGAGATCCTGGTACTTACAAAAGGGGATGTTTTTCTACTTATATTTCTACTTCTACTCTAAGTTAATCTTTACATGTTTTTTTCCTCTCTGGCAGTGTATTCAGGTATTTTATGCTGATCTTTCTATATCTCATGTATTGGAACTGGAAAGACTGTTCTGGAGTGGGGGAATATTGTTCACAGAAATTTTAACACAGGCTAGACTTCAAGCAAATAACACTAATGAACTATAAAGACATGAAAGAGCCTCTAGAGAAGTAACAAATACTGAAATGGTGGCTGGCCATGGTAAACCAGGAACATCCCTAATTCTAGAAAATAGCTTCAGATGGAGCTATTTGGCAGAAGCAACTGGGAAAACACTTTCACATGCACTGCTACAGCACTGTACAATTTACTGTAGAAAGGGCAAGATTAAGCACTGGTGGAACATGGTATTTCCAATAAAATACTTCCATTAACTTTGGTTTACTCCAAGAGAGGATGTGGCCTGTCCAACCCGAGTCACCTAATGCCAAATTACTTTTCTAATCTACCTTTCTCCTGACCCTGTAAACCTCCTCCTGAAAAGATGTCAGAGACCACCTGCATTCCTTAAAGAGAAAGGGACTGGGATGTATCTTGGTTGGTTTTTGCTTTACCAAATCAACTACAAACATGCAGATATACAAAAGAAATTTTTACAAAAAGGTCTTTATTGATGTCATGCTCAATACTTCCATAAATCATCATTTATTTAATTCAAACAACTGTAAATTTGACTTATGAAAAAAATATATGTCTCACTATGTCACAGTATTTGTAAGAAAATAAACTTAACAATTTGGTAACTTGGCTTTATTTTTCTCAGAAGATTGCAAGGAGTACAGAGTACATTACCTGGGAAAAGGGTGAACAACTAATTCTTTATCAGTTTAACCAAATCATTAAACTTACTTTTTTTACCTAGCTACCAACTAAAGTGAATATAAAAAGTAGAAATATAAAGATCAAGAACATAACTCTAAAACACAAAATCAAGACCGTACAGTAACTAAGAAGGCACTTCTGCTTTCTGATTCAAGTAAGCATTTCCAGTTTTGGCAAAACTCCTCACAACTAGAAGTTAAATCTAAATGTGCATTTGTTGCTGGAACATATAATTCTACCTTTTCAACATAAAATTTTAATGTTTTAAAGCCTTGTCATTATCTTTCTGATGGTTCAAAAGTTTTGAATCAACAAGCAGACATTTTTATTTCTGCAAGCAGAAGAACTGCAACACCACTGTTTCAGGTTGTTCTCTCAGTCAATTGTCATTTGCAAGGCAAAATATCTTTACAAAGGCACTTTAATATGGTATCATCCAAGTAAAATTTGCCAGTCTTTTACAAAGATTTTGATTGTTCTATTTCTTACATTTCTATACTGTTGATATAATAATGTAAATAATCTAAAAACATTGATTTTTGTATACATTCATCTTATACTAGAATGATGACTAAGTAAACTGACTTCCAGATTGAGCACAGAGCAACCATTGGCCTTCATGAATAATGTTCATTAAAAGGAAATTAATATATTAGACTAAGAAACACCCTTTTAAATAGCTACAAACTGTTTTACTACTGGACAAACCCATAATATGATGATCTTTGGAAATTTCCAAGGAGGTTATGGTTCCATGAGCTAGTAGTAAACGAGAAGGAGTCTCAAGATTTTTTTGTTTTTATTCTTAATTTACAATCTGTTTTCTGGGAAAAAGCTTTATGGGTCAGGTAGCTGACTCATGACATCTTCAGCAGCCATAAATCATGACAGCCACACCAAGGGAAACCAAGACACAATAATTAGTGACAGCTGTCAGGCTGGCCCACAGCTTCTTTAAAATATTGCATATTCTCCATCCGTCAGATACCCCTGCTTATACAACATAAAAATCTAGTGTTGCCATATTTCTGTTATTAAAAATGTGTTACTCCTGTCCACAATCACATCTCCACCCAAAACCACAGCCTGACCTTCCACCACGGGCTGCATTAAAATGCACTTTTAGAAGTACAGTTCCTTTGTGAGCATGGAGACCACGCAGGGAATCTGCTTCTTCTCACTGAAGCGGGGATCGTCGGACTGGGACTCAAAATTCGTGGCCACCACGTAGTTGACCCGAGTGAGGATCTGCATGATCTCAAGCTGCTTTCCATGCTCATTTAGCACAGAGCACAAGGACTGCACAAACCAGGAGCCTCTTCCAGGATTTCTCCAGGAGTAATAACCTAACAGGAAAAGATGAGGAAGAAAATACAAGGAGTTATTTTTGATCTTCTGTGTGAAAAATTCCAGGCAAAGATTAACAATGCACACACAGAAAGCTGAGCTCTTAACTGTTGTGTTACATATCCTACTTCAT